TATAAATAAATCTAAATTATATATTACTTTCAGCAGAAAGGAAGATTGATGAGTAAGTAAGTGCTTGTCCCACACTGTGACAAACGTCAAAATGTCAAAATCGCGCACATTCGTAGATTGTCCTTCCCTCAGTCTGTCTCTCCTTCCTCAGCTGGCGTCTGATGGAGTAAAACTAGAGAACTATTATGTCCAGCCCATCTGTACACCCACTCGTAGTCAACTCATGACTGGAAGGTACCAGGTCAGTTCTTGTTTTCTAAAGATATTGGGGGTTTTTTAAGCTGTGGTGGTAATAATGATGGCAGTTTTATTGTTCTTGTTGTTGCTGTTGTTGTTACTATAATTGTGGTGAAACTGGTAACATGGTACAGGTTTAACGCCCTTATCAGCACTGTTAGGTTATTTAAGAGGCGGGACCTCCGAGTTTAACATCCATCTCCGAAAGGACCGAGCCAAGTGGGAAATTCGTGCAAAGTGCCTTTCCCAAGGACACAACGTCATACCGAGCTGAGGCTCAAACCCCCGAACCGGTGATCTCACGATTAAGAGTCCGGTAACCTAACCACTAGAGCTTGGCGGAGAATCGATTTCGGAACCGATTCCAACGATTAAAGAATGCTACGAACGAAGAGTTCCGACTCCTTCCTACGTAAACCAACGGTTACCAGTTACTTTACATTACAATGTTTTATTTATAGAATTTATTTTTGAACAAGAAAAAAGCTGATGCTTCGTAGTGTTCCGACATCAAGGTTATATTAAATCCTGAAGATGCTGGGAGCCAACCAGGTAACGACCGAAAGAAATCACATCATTAGAAAGTAAGTAATTGGGTTCGAAGTCGATTCCTACGATTCCTAGTTTTCAATAATCGGGAACCTAGCCGCCCAGCACTACTAACCACTAGGTTACTGACGCCAATAATTGTTGTCGTCGCTGTTGCTTTTGTTGTTTTCCCTCCTGTCTTTGGTGATGTAGGGTTAGCAAGCGGTTCAACAGCTCTCAACCGAGACAGCAATTTTTTTCAGGAGAGAGACAATAAAACGACTTTAAAAGAAAACAATTGTGCCTACATTATGTATCTTTCTTACTTTTTATTATTTAAAATTGGAATTTCGACAAAATATTTCTCAAGCTTAATACGTGATGCAGCGTTGTAGAACCAGGATCAAGTCAAAAGAATGACATTGAAGAGTCGGCATTTTTCCATGTTGCTTGCAATTTTTATCGAGTGTTTGGTTTTTGATTCAACACCTTCTATGTCCATTCAAAAACACATTACTGTCTAGATTTTACTGAAAAACATTGATAAAAGGTATAAAAAAATGTAAACGCTCAGTTTCCAAGGACTCCCGCGCTTTGAAAGTCATCAAACTTTGGAGGCCATTTTCTCGCTAATCTTACTTCTGAAACCAGGCAACCCCAGCCTCCATCAATCGCAAATATCTTGGATTTTATTCAGATAAATTGGTATTTTTTTTACGCCAAATGCAAGAGAAATGAACAAGCTTTAAGATGATATTAATGACTCCATACTCCATATAGCCAAAAAAACTGACGAGAGCCTGATTCCACCACGCTGCCTCACATATAGCCAAAAAAACTGACGAGAGCCTGATTCCACCACGCTGCCTCACATATAGCCAAAAAAACTGACGAGAGCCTGATTCCACCACGCTGCCTCACATATAGCCAAAAAAACTGACGAGAGCCTGATTCCACCACGCTGCCTCACACATAGCCAAAAAACTTACGAGAGCCTGATTCCACCACGCTGCCTCACATATACCCCCAAAAAACTGACGGGAGCCTGATTCCACCACGCTGCCTCACATATAGCCAAAAAACTGACGAGAGCCTGATTCCAGCACGTCGTGGCCCATGTGCACCAAATAACACGGTGTAAGTAAGAAACTATAGTCCACAAAGTTCGTTCAATAAAGTCAAAACTTTGGCCCAGGTACATCGGAAGATCTGGCTAATGATAAATCAGACATAATTGAACTTGTAATTAGCAACAGATTTGTTGTTGTTGTAAGAGAAAAGTGACGTCCCTGGTTCCACCGCAGCCACACAAGATCACTCACAGTATTCTGTACCCTCTGGTTATTTGTCAACTAGAGAACGGTCAAAACCAGTGACAAAAGCATACATGTCATTTTGGTCGCTTTTAAGCACGCTTTTAAGCACGCTTTTAAGCACAAGGGGGCTCTCCCGACAATTAATGCTGTTTTGAGAAAATCAAAGGTAAAGTTTTTGCCCCTTGTTCAGTTTCTGTAAGGGACAAGGAGAGTTTTCTCTATAACTAAAAAAACCCACTCACCCAAGAAACCAAACTTCTCTTATAGGTAGGGCAATGTCCACTTTTGGTGTAGGTCAAGATTTCTGGAAACCCCCGAAATCTAGGTTAGCCCGCTTGTCCTTAAAGCGGCCTTTTATGAAACAGACCCTACAAACCAGCAACTAAGCACAAGCGACATGGAAAAGGCACGATGAAAAAGAACCCCGGAAAATGGTAACTACAAAATCAGACCAAGGCAACAAGAAGTAAAGAATTTTTTTTTTTTAAAAACATTTAAAAAATCCCTCTAAAACAAAACAGAAACCCAAAATAGAACGTTTAATCGTGTCGGTATTTCCCGTCTTTATTTTATCTCATCTCAATCGGACAAAGATGACGACTGCCGATTGCTTTGCATTGTTGGAGATAACCCTTGGCCCCGTTTGCCAACTCTTTCTGATCTCTTAAACAGATTGCGTTAGTCTTTTAACTGAACTCCTTTCATGGGCTTTGTTTTATCCAAGTCAGATAACCCTTTGTCCTGTTAACAAACCTCTTTCTTTTCTTTACTCTCAAGCGAGTTATTCAGCGCGTTCTAATGCCTTGGGTGCACTTTTCGTGTTTTTTTCCCCTTGAGGAATAGTTAGTATAGTAGCCACCCGTCTGTGATTCATGTCTCTGCGCCGGCAGATGTTTACCTCGAGGTCAAGCCATCCTTGGCCCCGTTTGCCAACCTGTTTTTTTCTTTCTCTGCCTCTTGTGTCCTTGGGAAAACTGCTTTACTCGAATTTCCTATTAAATAATTTCCCTCTGTCATTTCAGAGATCTAGTTTAGCCAAAGATAGTACAGCTCTGTCATTTCAGAGATCTAGTTTAGCCAAAGATAGAACAGCCTACTGTAGAGTGTAGTATTTTTGGTTTAACTAGGAGGTCCCGTCTCTTAAATAAATAGCCTATAGCATGTATAGGGGCGTTAACACTTCAACAGTTTTCTCTCTCTCTCTCTCTCTCTCTCTCTCTCTCCCCCTCTCTCTCTCCCTCTCTCTCTCTCCCTCTCTCTCTCCCTCTCTCTCTCCCTCT